AATGTCTTTGCATCTATTTTACAACTCCATTATTTTCTGATGTTTCACATGTTTGAAAACAAAAAATGTTACTAGATTTCCTTTACAGCAAATAATATGGGAGCAGACAACAGACCTCAATCAATGTAATAATTCTTTAAATAATGTAAATTAATTCGAAAGAGGTGGAAGAGGGCATATGTATCTGTAACACGCATTTTAAATTGTTTCTGCATTTGCATTTGGTTTTAATGGCGTTTACGCCCTCTAGTGTCGGAAAACCCCATCGTAGTGAGGGTTTTTTTAACCTTTACTGCGTCCGTCCGGCTCAGCCTTGAGCATTTAGGCTTTGCAAAAATGCAAATGCTGGATTTATTCTTCCAATATATGTCCTCCAATTTTACAGATTTGGTACAGAGGTCGCTTGGGGGTGTTTTGACCCAAAGTGAGCTACTTAATATGTTAATTTCTGATATAACACACACACAAATATGCTAAATTACAATTTCTATCATTATTTATTTTGACACCCACAATACACTTATTTTTCACTCGGAAAAAATTTACTCCTGTGTTCAAACAAACAAACAAACAAACAGGAGTTAAATAAGCAGCATTGTCCTTCTCATTTGTTAAGATTATTAAAGAAAATATATTGTCTCTCACATCAAGGGAAAATGGACAAAAAGTATGATTCACTCCAGTTAAAATTCCGACCTTTGGCTTATGAAATATTTCATCTTACAGCCATCAAAAACTGGGTTTCATTAGATTCAGGAATAAGATGGATGGGTGATGATGCCACAAATACAGCCTGTGTTGTCTGAGATTTCTTGAGTTATGGGTATGCAGCACCAGATATATTCTACTCATCAGAAAGCAGTAGTGTGTTGGCAGGTGGACATCCCTGGGTAAGATCTCACATGACAATGCTGAGATTACTGCCCGGGTATTATTAACCCCAAATACATTTGTGTTCCCCAAGCTCCTGCAAGAGCTACATCTTCTGTATGTGATTCGAGCTGCATTTAGCTCCCCCCATTCTGTCATGCAAAGTGCTACATCACACCCATGTTACTCACATCAACACTCTGAAAGATACACTATTTGCAAAATTAAGGAATCCCCTGGCATCCTGTCTGTCTTGCAATAAGGAGTCAAATATGCAAAAGTGGTCTGTCACCCAGTGAGTACCAACAACTGAGACAAACATACATGCCTGTAAATCCATCCATCCATCCATCCATCCATCCATCCATCCATCCATCCATCCATCCATCCATCCATCCATCCCTGTACAGTGTCACTTAGTGAAGAGATATCCATGGACTGCAAGGAATAGCACGCCTGGCCTGTCTGTATTAGATCTAGTGAAACCTAAGCATTAGTTTGATCATGTTGTTTCTGACTTGTGATTTGATAAAGCTTGATTGACACACCTAGTTTGTCATAGTCTTTTTCCTTCCCTTTTTGGCAACTGAAGTAGAATGCACCTGATTGATAACTGGGATCAGTATGAAGCCTCTTTTTCTTCATTCATCCAGAACATAAAATATTGGAATGACAATTCTGACATTACAAAATTAGATTGTCAGTACAAATCATAAATGCCCAAAGATTGACTTGAGCTTTGGCTACAATAAAAGACATATGCAGAACAGACAATATACAAAGCTATGAAAAGACTGCAACAAGGGGGAAAAAAACAAATAAAGGAGAATATGTTTGCAGTTCTAGCCTGAAGAAAAGTGAGACAAGCAGAGTAGCACTAGATAAAACCTTAAAATAGTTTCCTTTTGAAAAAGGAGTCTGTGAAAATTGCTTAATAAGATTCTACATTTGTTGCATCTTTGTGGCTGAAGAAATCATATTTTAGAATTTGTTTTAGAGATTAAGTATAAATTTTCCACTTTGAAATACTAGCACCTCAAAGCTTCCCTGCCATCTGAAAATGGACTTACACTCTTTTTTTCCGTTGAGAATTTCCACATAATAAAACAATTGCAGTTGGGGTTACGGAAGGAATTTTCCCTTCATTTTATGTCATCCATTTCCATTGGTGGTGTTCAGTGATATATGAGGTATAACTAAAGGTAATGTTTATTTCAGGAGGAGGAACTTCATTAGTAATTCTGATCATGACTACGCTAGACTAAAATCTGTGTCACTGTCCCAGAGGAGAGCAAGGCTAACCAGGGCAAATGTAACAAAACCTCTGTTTTGTCACAAAAGTACCCAAATATGTTTCTTACCCTGTGAGAAGTAGGAAGATTTATTTCTTTGAAGTAATTTTTTCTGACCATAATTTTATTTAAACAACTCCAGCACAGTGGTTAGCAACAGGAGAAAAACTAATTATGTAAGAATTATTAATGATGTGAAAGGTATTACTAGCACTAAATAACAAGCAAGCAACATTACCTTTGGAAAATGTCACTGTTTGATGTTACAATTGATGCAGGCTAAAAAGAAAAGCAACCAAAACCAAGTTATTTTAAAGTAAGCATTATATGCATATGCATGATATTTTGTCCAGAAGGTAAGAAAAACATTGCAAAATACTTTCTTGTGTCAAACAATCCTAAATATTTTTATTTCATTCTGTCACACTAAAATATTATGAAAAGGCATCTGCTTATGTCGCTGGTTAGGTCCACACATAAATATTGAAATGTTAAAGATAGATGAGCTTGTGGTTCCTGTCACAACTCCTAAAGCTCCAGTCTGCTCTTTATTCATATAATTATAGTGTCACATTATCAACAGGATGAGCTATATCCCTGAGCAATTTCAAGCCAAATTAATTAGAGCCAGCAATGCCTTCTGTCCACACCTGCCATCAGTGACAATAGAAGCTTATGGAGGTTCAGCAGTTTAGCAAGTCATCTACATATAGGTTTAGAAATCTCATTTAAGAGATCTGATTTAAAAGCTCTAGTCTAGTACTGGGCACGTGTAAATTCTGCATTTCAAAATCTGGTTGTGTCAGGTTTCTGTTTACACAGCTCAATCCAATATATGGAAATACTTGTATCTGTAAGAATGAAGTAAAACTAGTGAATAGTGTAAAGCAAGGATGTTTACCAGTGATTTGATCCTAGGTCTTGTCCACAAAGCTCACCACCCTGGCCCTATGCCTACTGCTTTACTATTGTTCTGCCTGGAGAAAAATGGGGTTAGTAAGGTGTTGGGGATCCTATTTGTCAAAGAGACCTTGAAAGGTCATTTATCCTCTTCCTTGCCCAAAGAAAAACAGCTGGTCATGCATACAGTTGATAGTCAGTTCAGGCTTTAGGAAGAGATAAGCACTAAAAATGCTTATGTTGTGGGTTATGTTGTTGTTATGTCAACAAATGTTGATGTGAAGGAAAGCATGAAGTTCTTTCTAGTGTTTTTAGATATCTTTAATTAAGACCAGTTATGTTATTCATGTAAAAGATGGATTTTGTTAAGTTATGCATTTTTCATGCAATCCTGCCATGTCACAAAATGAGAAACTAATAGCATTCAAATTCTGAGTAAGTGAGGGGGGTGAGGAAGATATTGGCAGAAGTATTAATTACATTATCCATGTGAATATTTTACACTTGGATATGCTTATTAAGGCAACCAAATATTTATTTAACACAACATAATCTATGTCAAGAGTCTGAGCCTTGGTCATCTATATTATATCTGCCTGGATGACAACTTATTTGAATATTTATGTCCAACATTTTCCTCACATGTTACAAAATGCAAATCATTCATCTTCACCTTTTTTTGACATGACCTGAACTCTCATTGCTAGAAGGTGTCCTCTAACTTCATATAGTTTCTCCATCATCCCATAAATTCACCCTTTTATCCATTCCTCATGATTAGGTGCACCATTTGGACACTGACTTGAAGACCTCCCTTCTTCTCTATTATTTTTCCAGTTCCTGTTGAACAGACAGGTTTTGTTTTCTAGATACTATTTTCTAAACACTGTTCCCCTGCAATTTTATTTCTTAGCTTTCCTTGTGTTGAGTTTATAAATTCTTTGTAATAGGGAGTATGTTATCTCTCTTTTCACAAGCATACTAAACTCACAAGCTAAAATCAATGTTTATTAATAATTTAAAATCCAATAAAATTAAAAACTGAATGGTACTTGAAAGTAATTCAACTTTTTATTAAATTCTGTAATATGTAATTACATACTTGTCCCCTTTAGAATATAGCAAAATGCAAAGCTGAAATCTCTTAATAAGTTGTCACTGGAGTGCCTTTACATACATCAGTAACACTTTGGTCTTACTTGCTGGACAAAACCATATCCAATATCATAAGGAAAGGTGGTAGCTTTAGTAATTCTGAGCACTGCCATGATTGCACTTTTAATTTGGTTGCTTGTTTGTGGCTTGTGTTTTACATGTTTGCTTTCACCTAGACCATAGAAGAGACATTTGGAACTCAGCTACTCCAGCTTCTCATGCCAACGAGTTAGGTCAGCCATGCTTGTGTCCAGCCAAGTTGAAAAAATACAGTGATAGAAAGTCCATGATTTCCTGAGAAACTTGTTGCAAAAATGTGTCACCCTGCTAAATGAAAGTACTAAATCAGCTTGAGACAACAGATTATTCAGTTTAGTATCTAATTTACCAAGTGGTCTCTCTCAGATCTTGCCAATGAAATTGATGAGTTCTTTCAAGTAAACAGTGTAAGGACTGAACTTCAACACTGATTTTTTTTCTTTGCAAGGTCATTCTCTCTCCATTGCAATAGAGGTACCCTGGGAAGAGTACAGCAGGTAAAACATGTGATTTACCTGCCCCCAGTTTGACAGACAGGAGACACAAAATCTCTTTTAAATTAAAATTATTTGTGCACAACAGTGGGCACGATGTATATGTGAGAATATGTGTAAATGCATTACCTATGTGCAGCAAGTATTATTTGCAAGAGAAGTAAAAAATATTGTGCAATTAATTCATTGCAAAATTAAATTATTAGAAGAAATTTTGTCTTTACTAAGCCTTTTGTTTTCTTTAACCCAGGTATGGTGACATGGTGCCAAAGACAATAGCTGGAAAGATTTTTGGTTCAATATGCTCCCTGAGTGGGGTCTTGGTCATTGCTCTGCCAGTTCCTGTAATTGTCTCCAACTTCAGCCGTATATACCACCAGAATCAACGAGCAGACAAGCGCAGGGCACAAAAGGTGAGCTTCTAATTTTTTCCCCCTTATGTTGTTGAACAATAGATAAAATATGATTTTCTACATGCTGTGTGTCATTATAGTGTGTGTTTCTTAGCAAGAGGACCGCTGTATGTACGTGCTACATGCCTAACCCATGTCCTAGATGCAAACACTGTCTTATTTTTTGTGAGGAAAAAATCCCCAGCACAAACCAAAACCAGTTCATTTATCTTTTCTGTCAAAATGTATAGATGTATTATTTTGGTAATTCATCCCACTTGTTAGACTAGATCTAGGGTTTTTAGACAGTAGCTGCAGTCTCATCCACTGAAGATTCTTCTGTATTTTTTCAGGCAGACTTTCCTTCTATCACAGTCTTCTGAGGAAAAAAACCCAAAACAACCAACCAAACAACAAAAAACCTCAAACTTAATAATGATTTCTAGCATGTCTGCTAACAGATTGCTTCACTAATCCAGGTTTAAAGTCCCAGATTCAGTCTCTGGGGGAATCTGATGGTTGAGAAACTTGTCTCCTCAGTTCTGTTTTGCTTAAAAGGCTTCAGATAAACAGCTCAATCAGGTAAAACAATGAAAATAAAAGTCAGTTTTTCCAGCTTCCTTGATTTACTGCATCTCTCACTAAAATATCCACTAGATCTAAAAGAAGTCTGTTTCCCTTCCTGACACATATGGACAATGTCAGGGGCTGGGAAGAAAAGTATTTATCAGGAGTGATGCAGCCAAGCCTGGACAGTCACTTTCATCCTCACATCACTGCCAATGTCCTTGTTCTAACCCACTTCTCTGAATTCCGAGGTGCCAGGCAGCTCAGGGAACACCCATTGTCCCTGCAGCCCTGCTCCGGGAGCTGAGATGCTCCACCTTCCCCTCCTCTGCGGATGGCAGCTGGAATGCTTCGGGTGCCACACAGGTTGCATGATTACCAAGGCTGAGGTTGGGCTTTTTGTGGACCTGTGCCCTCTCTTCAGAGGTGCTGAGTCTCAGGAGAGCAGGTTCATTGCTGGGGGAAGTGTGCAGGCAGACCATGGCTGGGGACTGCATACATACACCAGGGAATGCATCTGCTTCATACTGACAACAGCACCATGGTCAGATACAAAATGTTTCTGTGCTTCTCTGGCCACCTTTTTGACTGATTTCTCCATTGAAAAAAAAAAACAAAACAAAAAAACAGCAAAAACACCATAAACACAAAATCAGTGAAATAAATGTGTACAGTGGTATCATTCTCAGAATATCTTAAAAACAGGAAAAACAGTGGTACATGGCCAAGAAACTCAGAGGCCCAGGTGAAAGATACACCACCCTTCAATGGTCACATCTTGGAAAAATGCTGTCAGATGAGGAAAATGGCTATTAAAATAACAGGTGTATCTCAAGAATATCATACCTCTCTAGAAACCTGATCTAATCTAAAATCCACTTCAGGGATCTAAGTCCTGTACATTACCTATCTACTAATTCTACCCACTCTTCTGCATGCTTTGTCCCAGAGACTAATTCCAGCTGTGTGTTCCCCTCTCATGTCACTTCCACACTACCTTGTTTTTCTCAAGAACTTTTCTACTTCTTTCTCTGGAATGGCAGGAGGGAGATGACTGTATCTCAGGCAGGACACAGTGCTCCTGACTGTGCCCCTGAGCACTGTGGCAGTCATGGGTAATTGATCGGCTCGATCCCAGCAATCATTGTGACTGCTCTGAGCTTTCATAATAGCTGCAGACACAACCTTTTCAGATAGAAACTGTGTCCTACTGTATGCCACAAAACACATTTTTCTAGGCCTGCTTTACATTTATTTCATGGTTTAATCCAGCTGGCATCCAAGCCCCATGCATCTACTCACTCAGTCCCCCACCAGCAGGATCAGGGAGAGAACTGGAAGCATAAAAACACAGCCCCACACCAGCCACTGTGAAGAAAATTAACTCTACCACAGCCAAAAACCAGCACCATTTGTCAGTGAAAAATAAATGGACAGTAGAAAATAGCTCACAAAAGTTAGATTAGTAGACTGGCTGCTATTCCCCATAATCTCTTCCTGAATAGCAACTGCTTGAGTTAATAACTGACATTTTCTCCTTGCAAAACAGTGAGGTCATTGTATGTTTCAAACAGGAACATGAAGTGATGAATGGCAATCCTGCCAAGCATTTTTTCCTCTGCTCCCCAGAACAATGCCAACAGCAAGGATGAGAGATCTCCTCTGACTGTGTTTATGCCGTTCTTGCTTGGGAGAAAATGGCTTTGAGGTCTGATTAACCTAGCACTGGATGTGTGTTTCATTGATACCTCCTACTGCAAAGCTAATCTCTTTCAATCTAAAATGACAAGATGTTGAACTGAATATTGCTCTAAAAAAGAAAAATCAACAAAAAGCACTTCATGGGTACTGTATAGTCCATATTTAGCCATGAAATATAGCCTTGCATTTCACAGGGGGTTTCTTCTGCATTGTAAAAGAATATTCAGGCAACAATGTCACATTATTGAAGTTTGAAATTCCTTCTTTCATTCAGTACAATAGAGGCTTTACACCATTTTCTAAAATAAATGTTTCCCTAGGCACTGAACTTATTTCTGTTCTCTGAGGCTGATGAATATAAGCTTAAAAGAAGGTGCTGTTCCGTGGAGAGTAGCAGAAACCCCTGCAGGCAATGGCAGCTCCTGCTGGCCACAACAGCTTCCATTGGACTGAGATAGCTGTATCTTTGGATTGTGCAACTTTATCAATATCTCACACAGAAGTTTAATCAAAATAGACTTCAGAAATGGCAAAACACTTGGGCTGGAAGGAAACTCAAGAGAAAGTTCTTTGCTGAAGAGTTGAAATCTGGTTCCAGAAGCAGTGACAATTTACACCAGAAAAATATTGTCACTTTCTTTGCAGTTGTTCAGAGCCCTGCAACCATCATTTTATGCACTTACTGAGTTCTGCACAGTTATTCAAGATTAGACAATTCCAATTGTTTCTTTTTGGCAAAAATACACTGTACATTAATGCTTGGGAGAAGATGGAAGAGAGAAATTTATATACCATTGCATTTTGAATGCATTTTAAAGGAAGCTCCTGCTTCCAATCATAAAAATACATTGTCATAATTACCATGAAATCCCACTCTGTAATACAGAAAATGTTGGCAATGTAGGCCAGCTTTCTGCTGCAGTACAGGAAATCCCTTGCAATCAATATAAACAAAAACAGAAGGAGGGGGCAAAGAAAGAAAAAATTGTCTATGCTTATCAAAACATTGTTTTCTATCAGATAGTAAGGCCCAAGGATCTGGCCTATCCTGACAAGAGATGGATGAATAAATAATCCAAACTAGGCATTGAAATTCATGGCATAACTAATTATGCCCTGGAGTCTTACTGTGCCTTCTTCTCAAGCAGTTTTATCAGTACTGAGACAGTTTTGAAGAATGCTATTTGTGGAGCTTTTCTCAGCTAGAGACGACTTCAAGGGGTTGTTATTTGGTTGCCCATTAACTTTGGGCAAAGTTAATGACAATTGTCATGTGGGAAGGGAAGGGAAGGGAAAAGGGAAGGGGGGAGAAGAAGGGGCGAGGGAA